CGTGTAGCTTGCCCTGGAGCCACATCCTTCCTGAGCAAAGACAAAAATGTGTACGCTAGAGGTTAAAAAAACCCCTGTAAGCTAGCTCGCACTAACTCAGCTTAGAGGGAGCATTGATCCCAAGCGCTAACCAGGCCTGACCCTGCTTAGCTTCTGAGATCTCAAGAGACAGGGCTAGCCTGAGACCTCCAGGTCAGGGCAAGAGGTGTTCAGAGGTGGTTTGCCCTTGCCTGCCTCTGTGTAGCAACCCTGGGCTTCCTCGGTGGTCTCCCCTCCCAATACTGACCAGGACCGACCCTGCTTAGCTTCTGAGATCTGAGGAGACAGGGCTCGCCTGGGCCGTCCAGGTCAAGGCAAGAGAGGAACAGAGGCGGGTTTGCCCTTGCCTGCCCTCTGCACAGAGCAACCCGGGGCTTCCTTGGTGGTTCCGGCCAGGGCTGTTTTTGTAGAAAAAGCCCAGCAGGAACTCATTAGCATAATAGGCCACACCCAACAGAAGGAGCATTTTAGGCCACACCCCTGACAGCACAGGTCATTAGCACATTAGGCCACACCCCCCATGTCACCAGAAGTGTGCTCATCCAGCCACACCCACCTTTCCCTTCTTATTCTGTTTACCTTGTTTGTTGTCCAAACCCAGGGCCTTTTTTTGGAGCAGGAACTCCTTTGCATGTTAGGCCACACACCCCTAATGTAGCCAATCTGAATGAGTTTCTGCTATTGGGTGTGGCCTATTATGGTAATGAGTTCCTGCTGGGGTGTGGCCAACTCAGGAGCCAGCCGGAACTCCGTTCCTGTGCGTTCCTGCCCAAAAATAGCCCTGGTGGTCCCCCATCCAAGTCGTAACCGGGGCCGACCCTGCTTAGCTTCCGCGGCCTGATGAGATGGGGCTCTCCCGGGCCATTCAGGTCAGGGCAAAAGACAGGCGATAGGCTGAGCGTGTGACTGGCCCCGTGGCCCCAGGTCACCCACCAAACTTCCTGAGAGGGAGGATTTGAATCTTGGTCTCCCCAGGGGTGTTCTGACACGAACCCCTGCACAACCACGCCCAGGTTCACAGTGAGATCCTAAATAACATATCATCAATAATTTTATATTTTTTGAAAAATATCGTTACAATAATTTCTACATATATAATTAATCGTCTTAGTCACAATCCACAATATAAGAGGTGCGGGGGTGGGGTGAGGGACACGTTATAAAGAGACTTTAAGGAGTCCTCCCTTTTGAAACTTTTATTTAACAGAGGAGGACCGTTATCTCTCCTTATATATAATTGAATAGTGGGTGCCAAAGTTCTAAAATGCACTCCTTTAGTGTATGGACGCTTGAACTGTCAGTCAGAAGACTCTGTCATTATACCCTGCTGAGGTCACCACAGCAAAATGACACTGTTTGCCCAAAGCCAGAGCACTCCCCCAGAGCCTCTTTCTAGATCTCGTTGTATTTATTTCCACAACGGGCTTTACTGCTAGTGTTATATAATCCTCTGTGCACGGTACTGGTTGCATGTTGGTTTGATCCTCCAGGGGGGTCCTGGACTTCTCCTAGAATTGCAGCTGATCTCCTGGCATGGCTTCAGAGGGAGAATCCTGCCGCTCACATCCCGGCAGAACTCCTTCCCCTCTCCAGACTCTGGACACCCCCCCCCCGGGGCCACTGCCCCCAAACCTCCAGGAATTTTCCAAGGTGGAGATGGGAACCCCTGCCTGCAGGGGACAGAAGATAAGAAGAGCCCTGCTGGATTAGGCCAGAGGTCCCTCCAGTCCAGCATCTTGTCTCACACTGTGGCGGGCATGGTGCAATCTGCATCGGAGAAGTCCCGTGATCTGTTTGGCTTTCCCACCCCGGCCTGTGCCCCCCCCCAGGCTGCGGCTGCATCCCAGTCGAGCAAGGGAACCTTTACCTTTACCTTTCGAGCAAGGGAACCTTTACCTTTACCTTTAGACTCAACCGAGTCAACAGGGAAGTTCAACAGAATTCAGAATCGCCAAGTCTGCCTGCCTCCCTGTGAGGTGGGGACTTTGGGAACAGCTGCTAAGGCCTGGCAGATTGAGGGGCTGCTGCATAGAGGCCGGCGAAAGCATGTCCCTCTTGAGGAGTTCTTTTCCATCCATGCCAGGCTGGGCTAGACGGATGTATGAATGTCAAATACGTGCTTTCCTCGAGCAAGCAACTTTGACAGTCCTCAGCTTGGCATCTGAGCCAACTCATTTCCACGTTCCAGGCTGCTGGTCAAGAGGCAGTTGTCTTTTTCCTGCCCGGCTGGCAGGCGTCCCAGAGGCGTCTGCCTGCCCACTGTCGGAAACAGGAGGCTGGGCTGGATGGACCCCGTTGGATGGATTCCGGCAGACTGCCTCTTAAGCTGTATGCCGATCTCTCGTGCAAACACAGTCCTACCCAATGTTCCCTCTAAGTGGAGTCAGTGTGAGCTAGCTCACCGTTTTTTAGCCTCCGGCTCACAGATTTTTGTTTCCGCTCGGGAAGGAGGGCTCCAGAGCAGACTGATTTATGAAGCAGCCAAATCACAACTTTAATGCCAGCAGCTCACAAAGTAGAATTTTTGCTCACAAGACTCCACAGCTTAGAGGGAGCCTTGGTTAGTACTTGGCTGAGGTGGCCTTCAGCAATGACAGAGGCTGGGTTTGATAATGGTAAGGGCTGCACGCCGTCCGTACCCACAGAGTTGCCGCCGCTGCCCCATTCGCCGTTCCTCCCCGGTGGGCACTGAGTGGGCGAAAGTCCTGCCAGCTCCACCATGAAGGCCCCGTTGGCATGGGGGGTGCAGGTGTTCATCGTGAAATCCTTCCGGCTCGCCAAGATCTCCCCTTTCCGGCTGCAAGGAAACAGAGCGAGGCTAAGCCGGGGAAACACGGCAAGCGCTTTACCCCACAGCTTTGCAGAAGAGGTGAGAAACACTCAGAAAGCTTTATCGCTGAAGCCAGATGCAAACAGAATAAAATGTCGCCTGTAAAATGGAAGATAAAATCCATGATCTTAGACAAAGTCCGCATGGACAATAATCCTCCAAACGGGAAAAATATTCTTAAAGGGAAGAAGATGTACTTCATTCCGTTGGAAGAATGAGGGGTCCCGCTAGCACCCATTGCTGAATGAAGCACAGAGCACAATCTTCTTCCCTTTGAGAATACTTTTCTCATTTGGAGGATTATTGTCCATGCAGACATTGCCTAAGATCGTGGATTTTTGTAAAGGATGAAGTAAAGTCTGTTAACTCAGTTTTACTTAACAGAATTACTTCAATCAATATACGTTGTATGAATTGTACTGTTAAAATTATTGAAAATACAAAATGAAATGATAAAAACTTAAAATGAATGTATGACACTTGATGATTAGTAAGTTTGTCACGGTTTATTCCCATTTGTTATAATTTTTCTGTGATTCTCTCTTAGTCTGTATTGTAAAATGCAAGAACCTAACGCCCCCCCCCCATCCACATTCAACATACAGAAGAAGAAGAAGAAGAAGAGATTGGATTTATACCCCGCCCTTCACTACCCAAAGGAGTCTCAGCGTGGCTTACAAACTCCTTTCCCTCCCCC